CAAACAGCAAAAATTAAAATGTAAAAAAGCATAACCTGTGGTATTTAATTTAAAAAATAACTGTTCAATAATATACATTTTAATATGATTTAATTATTATATTTGTATTATTTAATTTTAATATTTAATATTATAAAGATAAATAATTTAAGATTATTTTATTCTAAGATAATTGTGAAAAAATTTGAGAAATAAAAAATGTGCACGTTGATGGAATTTTTTTTTTTTAATACCTTTAGGTACTTTTTGTAGTTATTGTAAACGACAGCCAGAAAGAAGGACATGAAGGTATAGATGTTGATAACAATATACAGAATGAAGAAAAGAGTGAAGAAAACACTGTAGTTGTACGCCGGCATCCTACAAAGAAAACATAAAAACATCAAATATTACAGAAGCATTTGTGTTGTGTATGTTAAGCATATTATGGGTGACTGATATCTTTTATACTGCTGAATATACAATTGCACACAGCAAAGATTCACAAAAGAGAAAAAAAAGCTTAAAAGGAGAGAAAGAAAATGCAATAGCTCAAGACTTACATGACATCAGGGCTATTAGCAGTGGTCACCAACACATACAGATCGAAAACAATATCCAAATAGTCTGTGAAATATGGAGAACCATCAATGGTAAGAAGGCCCCTGAGAAAAAAGAAAAGCAGCTTATAAGGTTATGTAAACTATTTTTCAATGGACACAATTGAGGTGAATGGAAAAACAAAGCTATGAATGGATGATACTTTATTTCTGTTTACCTTTTCCCAAATAATTTAAGAGCCATGAGAGAAAAGACCAACACGCTGAACATGAATAAGAGAAAAACATAGGAGATCTGAGGCAGTGCATTCCGAATACTCCTGAATGCCCTCCGCAGCTACAGACAAAAAAAAAAAGAAGAAAGAAAAAAAAAATTATGAAATGAGTCTGGTGAAGAGACATTTGTGCACAATAAACACATATTACCATTCAACATGCATTTATTTGATAAAAAATACAGTAAAAAAATGGTAATATTGTGAAATATCATTACAATCTAAAATAACAGTTTTCTATTTTTTTCTATTTTTAAAATGTAATTTTTTCATGTGATAGCAAAGCTACGTTTTCAGCATCATTACGTCAGTCTTCAGTGTCTTGTGATCCTTTAGAAATTATTCTAATATGCTAATTTAGTGCTAAGGAAACACTTACTATTATTATCAAATATTTGAAATCAGGTGTGCTGCATAATATTGTAACTTTTAAAAGTATAACTTTTAAATGGTAGATGTATGTTTTTGCTAACTTTAGGACTAGAGTAACTGACAGGAAAATCAAAATTACTGACAAAATGTAATCTTAATTCAATAAAAGAAATACACTAAATATAAACTATAAGAAAGTATATAAAATGTATGCGTTTATTGTGCTTTGATTGTGGTTTTCTTACTTGTCGTCCCTCTGTAACATTGACTAACAGAAGTGGTCTCAAGACCCTTGACCATCGGATGGAAAAATAGCCTGATGTTTTCAGTGCCCCATATATAGTCAAATCTATGAAAGAGAGCTGTGAGGTGGGAAGGGTAAAGAAAGATAATGAAACAAGAAAACAGTGACATTTAAAATCTCTCAAAATGTCCAGTTATGCAACACACACATAAACCCTCTCCTTGACTTTACTTAATGTCTACTCATAGTCATTGAACGTCACATTTCCTGGAGATCCTGAAGAACTGCTGAGAATGACAAAACACGGGCTAAAGTTCATTTCACAACATTGTTACGAGCACATTCTCAGCATTTTCGCATGTTAGTACAGACAGAATACTTGATGGGTATGTATATTAAATAATATCTAATCAAATTAACACAAGAAAGTGATTATGGACCTGTAAATAAGATACCATCCAAAACTATGTATTAGAGGCCTACCGTTACAACGATTATGATGCAGATATTTTTAGGATCCTTCCAGAATTTATCCTTTGGAATGACTTTGGCATAGTGTACCATCCGCACAGTAAATGCAGAGAGACATATGATTTCAATTGTAGAAGTCGCCTATAGAACACACACACACACACACACACACAATGTGTTATGTTTTTTAGGGACATTCTTTTTACTTAATAGTTTTTATTCTGTGCAAACTGCATATTCCATCCCCCAACCCTAACCCGAACCATCTCAGAAATCTTTCTGTATTTTTAGATTTTCAAAAAAAGCCGTTTAAATAAACACGAGTCTCCAGGAAATATCCCATTGTGTCATATGGACGGTTGTCATGGATTCCAGGATGTCATAAAAGCAGTAAGCAAGAAAAAAAAAAGGTTCAATGGGGTTCTATATAACTCAATTTTAAAGAACACTTTATACTGAAAAGGATTTATATAAGGAAATATTTATTGAACGAACCCTTATATATCTGTAGAACCTTTTCTTCTAAATGTGTAGTTTATGTTGCTATGTTAAAAACTATTAAATATATAGCATCCCTGTCTGGGATGTTTTCTTGGTCACACAATCATAACTTTAAATATGAAAACACACCCCAATTCTTAATTTCAGAGGATAGAGTTTGATTAATTATATGCATGTGGTTCAAAACGGGTCTCATGGCATCTGCTTGTCAGAGAACGTGTTAGCCGTATGAACTGACGGGGGTATGGACTTTTAAGGTAATCTGCTAGAGATACAGAGAGCATTCAAGAAATATTCAACCACCCATTCACAAATCTACACAAGGTCTGAAATGAATTACAATCCTAGTCAATAATTAATCCACTGCTTTGCTGAATAATTTGTAAATGCGAGTTATATTTCTATACATACCCATATAGGAATTGGAACAACAGCAGGATCCTCAAAGAGAGCCAGAGCAAGATTTATGATGATGAACACATAAACCAGAGTTTGCATGAACCAGTGATTGTACAGCAGGTACAGCCTGTGGAATATTTTACAGATTTTATAATACACAACCTAGTAATAGCCAAAGTTATATAAATGATTGTTGGAAAGTCATTGCTTACCTCACAGCCTGTGGTGAAGTGTCAAAACAGATGTTCCTGTTATACTGGGCATCTGATACATAGACAGTGGCAAGGTCGAATTTCTAAAGCACCATCAGCAAACACCAGAAAACACCAGAGACCAAGAAGAGAGAAAAAATCTGTTTGACTGGTCAATTTTAATCACTTTCCACCTTTTCTTTTTCATTTTAAATGAGAAGCACATAGTGTGACAAATATTTCAACGACATCATATTTCATATGATGTCATAAAATCTGTATACATAACAATAAATAGCTCTAATACTTTGCAAAGGCTGTGAAAAGCTGGTTAAATGAAGTACAGAGTATATATCAACTAACCAAAACTATTTCGATGCTATTTAAAACCCCGTGAAATGTGACTGATATGTGCATGTTTATTTATCTAAACAGTTACTCCATGCATAATTGAATTTGTATGGCAACAGACACTCATAACAATCCAATTCTTAAAAAAACAGAAAACAATTCATAGGTAAAGAACTTCTAATATGTTTGCCAAATATTTACAGTGCTTCAGTTGACACTTTCTTCAAGGGGGGCACAATTTTCCAGTGTTTTCTTGACAAACAGGATACCAGATGTTTCTCTTATTCCATAACCGATCCAGATTTAAAGTTGTGATAAGTTCGAAAAACGTTATGTACAAATAAACAAACAATCGGAGTGTCATTTATTTAGATTGCACATTTTGCGGTACATTGATGAGTAACATACCTCTGTCATCTCATCTGAAACGTTACTGGAAACATTATTTCCTCCATTGGATAAACCTTCATTCTTTGATAAAGAATGGCACTTTGGGTTTTCGGTCTCAGACATTTTCTCTATCCCTCAACTTTTCCCTGTCCTTACGCAGCAGATAACGTTACATCCAGTTCGCAGGAAATCCCGTCTCGGAAAAGTTTATCTTGCTAAACGAAGCAACTTTTCAAATCATAGTATGGCGAAGGCCGCTCTATTAACAATTCATGACCCACGCCTTCATATGTTGAAAATGACCAGGAAAATGACCGAGCATTTCCAAATGAATATTTAGTAGATAAACCAACTCACCAATCAACCCGAGCAGGGTCTAATTAACATATAGAGTCCCGACTTCCATTGGAAATAAGCCTTGCGTTGATAGGATGAATGCTCTAACTAATTAATATTCATAAGATAAGGCCTCGCTATAGTAGGATTCGATTGGTTAAATGTTGCAGATTACACACGTACCTGTGGTACTTGGCTTTAATCTTCCAATAAACATTTCTTGGCCGAATAATATCATTTGTATGGAACATAAAGAGCATATATATAATATATATATAAAGTGTTTACTGTTTCTTTAAACAGAGTTTGCAATGTGGTGTATTTTGACCGGTCATGTGACTGAATCCAGCGGAAATGGAGGAGAAAACAGCCACAGGCTGAGTTTTGTGGTTTTGTAGAGACATCTGGATGAAAACACCCCAACGATTGTCTTATGCAACAGAGAAATTTACTCTGAGACCTCTCAACAGAGGAGGAACATCTAATTTAGTGTTAAGTGAACGTTTTTTTTTCAGTAGCCTGCCTATAACTATTCCCTAAAAAAAGTGAAAGAGCCTGTACCACAAAAAAGAAACCAACGACTATAAAACTTTATATAATATTTATTTTATTTTGCCAAAAGTGATTTTTATAAACGCCATAGAATGAAATATCAATACAAATCTATATAAATAATCTCTGAGGATAATCCTTTAGTTTTCATATTAAATATAAAGAGAAATATAAATGATTTGAATTGATTGTGAATTTAATTGAATTTGAATTCAATGCCCACATTTGGCAATAATTTACAGTTATATATATATATATATATATATATATATATATATATATATTCCTTCTGATGCTAAAATCCATTGTAAACTGTTGAATAAAAATAGTTTAAAAAAAAGAAGCATCATGATCAGGAAAAGGTTTCAAAACTTTTTTGAAAAAAAAAATTGTTTGATCTTCTAAAAAGATATTCATATTTCAGCCACAAAATTGAAACATTTTCTAATGAATAGTGCCCAAAATGGGTTTCATATTCAACCTCTGTTAAAAAAAAAACCATTGTCAAATTAATCTGGGTAGAGGAGGGTTCCTCCTGATGGAGGAGTAAGCTCCGATATGCTTGATGATATTGGGTTCAACGCTGTGTGCCTTCTCACCTGGCGTCGACCTGGCTATCTTGTACAGCACCATGTCTTTGGCATTACCCCTAACACAGACGGCCTGGTCCAGGTATTGGGCAGCTCGGATGGAGGCATTACCTGGGTAGAGCATAGCAGGGGTGCAGCATTCAGTGGCAGGAGACACAGCATACAGCTGGGGTGAGAGCCGTCTGATCTCCAGGAGATAGTGCCTCCCTGCCAGCTCAGACACGGCCATTATGTAGAGAGTTAAGAAGAGTAGACGAAGAGGTGAGAAGGTAAATGAAAGAGGTGTACAGTGAGATAAAAAGAGGAGGAGGATTGTAGCCCCAAACAGGCCGAGACCCAGCCATTCTAGAATGCGATACGGCTCTGGGTTCCAGTATCTCTGAAGACGTTCTGGGTGGTAGAGCTTTATGTATAAAGTATTGAGGGCAAATCTCCGCGAGAGTAAGTCTTTAATCAACGGGAAGAAATCGGTCATCGGAAGTGCATCGTCCTCCAGGACGACGACGTTTTTTGGCCTCATCAGGTCCCATCCTTTCCGCAGGCAAAAAACGTAATCTCTTTTCTCCTTCTCGAAGATGTTGTCCACATCTTTGCTGTTCCATTTCTCATTTGGTGAACGCCTAACAACCAGGAACTCTTTCTCTAGTAGCAAAGCATCTTCGTTCAAATCGGGACCACTTTCGACATCACAGAGCATGACCTCAGCACATGGTTTTTCGCCACATGCCTTAAGGAGCGATTTGAGCTGTTGTGCCACCTGCAACAGGTAGTGATAGTCCCTCCCCTCTATCCTCCTGGATGTCACTATGGTGATCAGGAGATCTGGTTTCTTAGCATCCGTCTCCAAAGGGTCCTTTAGGCTTTTCGTAGAGGCAGCACTCTCCCAGAAATGCAGGGCTTCCTTACCTCTGTCGTGGCTTTTTTGTAGTGATGCCTCGCTTAGTGAATCAAGATAAACACTCTTTAAAAAATAATATGAGTAAAGTCGACGATGGCAGCATGTAGGCAATATCACTCCAAAGGTTAAAACACACAAAACCAGCCCTTGAGCTACTGGGCTTGACCAACGAGAGTGCTTGCTGGTACATGTCCCCCATCGAGGCATCTGTGTCTGTTTAAACAGATCACAATTCACTTTTCTGGCAGTTCACTTCAATGCCAAGGTGATGGATATGTTACACAGGTGGAGGATCCAGATTTGAGCCAAGGGGGACTCGCATATGAGATTATAAACTTCTGAGATATTTCCAACTTGTATCTGTAGACAAAAGAGATATAGGGAGTTATAATCTTATTTTTTCTTAATAACCATTAAACATGATTTTATAAAATTCTGGTTGATTCCAAACATTCAATATTGAAAAGATTTTTTTTTTAGGTATAGTAAATTACAGTAAACCCTTTACGTATTTTAAATATTCTGCCAAAACATATTTATTATTAAATAATAATAGCCTAGCTGCTATATTATAAATATTGTGAAAATACGATGTACCGCATGAGTAACAGTTTACTCCATGTGATTCATGTAAGTTACTTGACTTGTTTATGTTATATATGATTTTTTTTTAACATATAAAAGTTAGTGTAAATATTTAATATTATGAACATATAGACAGTCTTTCGGCACTCAAAAGCTACTCTTTTCAAGAAATGACCCTTCTTTCTGTGGAAAAACAACTAAGTGTAGGCAGTTTGTGTGGTAGAAAGCATGATAAAATGAGTCAGCTTATCATAACAAGAAAACAAACCCGGAAGAATCTTATTTATCGTTCTGTAAATGAAACAAGGAATAAAGTATTTCAGCACTTAAGTTCTACCTCTCAGAGTGTTGATGTTTAGCACACAGCGACTAGACGACAGCAACCGAAACCAAAAATCTTGTCAAAACATCACTCGAGTCAAGATGACCTAACGTTACGTAGCCTACGTGCTGCTACGAGCGTCAAATCAGGTCCACATATCGATTACGACGAATACGTATTAATACTGTAACACATGGACAAAACGCGCGTTTAATTCACGGTGAAGCACCGCAAACCGTTTCTTGAAGTGGTAGAACATTGACTGACTCATAAAGCTGAATCCTCAATTGATTCAATTCGCATTCAGGGCGGTTTTGTTATATGTGTGTTTAAAAAATCGTAGCTGGAGCTCAAATAAGGACTGTGAATGGTCCATTATAGCCATCGCTGAGTAAAGTAACAGAACACACGTGACAACTCCTTCAAGTGCTGTAATCAACACACCAGACACTAGATGGGAGTGTAAGGTACAGTAAAAGACGGTCTGAAGTGAACCAACCATATGATGCGGGATAAAATAATAAATATTCAATGTTCAATATTCAAGGTTTTTGATTTGGTGAGTTTCGTGATAGTATATGCTGATAAAAATAGCTAAGTAAGGCTTTGCAAGCAAGCAAGAAACAAGTACATTTCCTGTAAATTACAGTCGTGTTTGTCAGTCTGAAAATGTTTTAATTTGTCTAGTAGCCTATTATCGCAGTGTATTTCAGCATTAACATCTTAAGTAGGATAGAAATCACCCACTAAAAACATTCAAGCTTACAGGTAAAGACACTTCTAATGTGTGAAGTTGTGAACGTAGGCTAAATGTACAATTCAATATAACAGGCCACTAAAGCCTGATCTTTCCTTATAACCACCAGGTAATAAAAGAAGACATTGCAAAGAATTAAGCCTCACTATAGGCTATTGTAAGAAATATCTAATTCATCACTCAAAAACATCTATGAAACTGAATCCTGAGTCACGCTTTGATAAAATCTTGTAACCAGATCATCGATGACTTCTTAGGAAACGTTTAGGAAATGTTCTTCTTAGGAAATGTTTAAACCTTAGTAAATGTTTCAAGAACATATTTTTAAATGCTTCATTTTGCTAGTCTTCGACATTGACAGTCAACATGGCAAATGTTGGGATAAAAATCTTTAATTTTAAAATAGCCTTATGAATTTTGCTCCGTTGATGGTTTCCCATATTTTGCATTGACATAGGCCTATTGATCACCACTACAAATAGATAAATTGGTTGGATTAGAATATATAGTAAGATTTTGTTATATCTATGATGTTGTATGTCTTTGGCAATAAAGAAAGTTGCCATGGTCGTTTGAAAGACAACAACCAAAAACACTGTCAAAAAATGAATGTGCAATGCCTGGCAAGAAAACAGCAGCTTGGTGAATGGTGTGCACAGGGTGGGTCATGAAATGCATCAAGATGAACAGGTCAGTCCAGAATCAGTTAGCTTCTTAAAGAAAACATATCTTCACCATTTCTGCACATTCATTTTACCTGTGCAAAGAGGACACTCAGGTGAACACATGGCATCCAATACAGGGCAATCGGGCTACCTACCCACCGGAGCGGCCTTATTCTGCACCATACCCGACATCTTCTACTTAGTGGAGCTTGTGAGTTGATTTTATTTGATATAAATTCAAATACTGATTAGTTGTACACTGTATATTGTTGGTTTAATTTAAACATGTAATGGTTGCCTAAAATTTCAAAATGATTGGAATTCAATTGAGTTAATACAATGGAGATTGGTTTACAAAAAAAAAAAATATATTATGTTATCTGAACTACATAAGTTGATTTGACAAAATAAAAATATTTTGATCACAAATAGAGATTGAAAACCATAATAATGAGAATTCATAATCTGGCCTCCTGATTTATTTTAATTAAGTGTCATTTTAAAAAGAAATAAATACTGTATTAAGAGAAAATGTATACAATTACGTAATTATTAAAAAAAATACAGTTTTGTAATCTAAAGACTATACTGTTACATCCAAGTTATTTAAAATGATTTGATTCATTATTGTAAGTGAATACATATACATCCTAAGCAAATCTGTAATAAATGTCAGAATGTTTTTATTCTATTTTATTTCAGTGTCATTATTTTCTCATTATATCCAATTTAGATGTTCATTGTTTGATATATTTATGTAATATTTTAGGAAAAGTTTTAAAATTCATAAGCAAATATGTTCACAGAGGAAAGATAGTTTTAATTTATCATCTTTTTAAAAATATGTTGGTAACACTTTACAATAAGGTTAATTAGTTAACTGCCTTAACATGAACTAAGAATGAACAATACTTCTACAGCGTTTATTAATCTTAGTTAATATTAATCCCAACATTTACTAATACATTATTAAAATCAAAGGTTGTATTTGTTAAACATTATTTAATGCACTGTGATAACGTGAACAAACGATGAACAGCTGTAATTTTATTAACTAATGTTAACAAAGATCAATACAGTAACACATGTATTGATCATTGTTAGTTTATGTTAGTTAATGAACTAATGTTAACTAATGATCCTTACTGTAACTTTTCTACTGTTCTTGTAGAAAAAGTACAACTGGAAGCTTCATTATGTTTATCTCTTAGGTCTTTGGCGGTCTGGTGTTGTGTCTAGTCGCATCTACAAAGCTCATGTCACCCTTCGACTTCCGGCCAGAAGTCGACTTTACCCTGACAACCCCCAGCAACCCCCAGGCCTATGTGATTTCTGTGACAATTTTCTGTTTCCTCATGACATTCACCTGGTTGATAGTCTTTGCCACTGGATGTCATCGTAATAAAAGCTCTTGGGCAAGCGCGGTAGGTTCATAATCTCTCTTTCTCTCTCATACTTCCTCTCTACTTTTTTTCCTATTTTAATATTTTCTTAAATTTCTCTCCACAGGATGTTGCATGCCATGGATTTGCATCACTCCTCTATCTCAGTGCTTCTGTGCTTCTAGCTTTTGTAACCATTGGATATGGTATTGTAAACAAGGAGCTACTTAATTACAAGCTGGATGTAGCTGCCGTGGTGAGTCCCTCTATAGCCAAAATCTAATTTCCAAATCTAATATTACCTGTCAAATACGAATATAACTTCTATTAGCATTATAACTAGTATTGGTGAAATCTATGAACAAAAATGACAAAGCTGATGTTCTGAATAATCTTGAATATTTAAGAGTAGCCTACTAAACTCGTAACCTCATTCAGGTTAACCTAGCTTCCTGTAGTACAAAAAAAAAGTATTTAACGTGAAATCAACATTAGATTACACAAACGAAAGCCATGTTAAAAAAGCAACTGTACATTTTTCCCGTTGGAAGTGTGATTATTTGTCTCTTTAATTTCAGGTGTTTGCCTTCCTCACCACTACAGTGTACGTCATCCACACCATTTTCTCAGCCCTCAGATGGAAATCCTTTTAAAGCATCTGCTGGACACAACCTGATTAGATTGATTAGGTATTACAAATGTCATATAATGCATCAGTAATAATTCATGTGATACTAGATTTACTGTCCAGGCTTCTTGTGTTCTATAAAATGCATACAGACTATTTTTAAAACCACTTTTTACTTTTTTTGTAAACTAGTCTCACCTTAGGTATAAATTATTGTCATTCCTGTATGACTTATAATAAAGGAGATTATGAAATATCTTTGGGGTGTGATCTCTTGGTGTGTCACTGGATACATGTGTGTCTCTAAAGGGCATCAAATTCACCTTTATTTTTAAATACAAAGGGAATGAATCACATGATTTTACAACATTCTGTCAGCGTGATGAACCATAAAACTTTTTTTTTTTTTTTTTTCAACAACAACAAAAAAAAATGAACAAAAAAAAAACGCAACTTTTGTTTTTAAGTGACTTTGCAGTTGCTAAGGTTTTTGGTCTTTAGCATGATCCTATGACCTTCTTTAGCCCCGCCCCTTGTTCAGGACTTCGTTTGTTGTCTTCCGGTTTGCATTTCAAACAGCAAGTTGTTAATATCTTACAGATTTATTAATGAACCGCTTATTTTGAAATGTTTGCAGTCTGACATTTGTAATGAGTTCCGCTTCAAACGGTACAATGCTCATGAAAACATTCGTTAACTAGCCTACACAATCAGTAAATCCACTTCAAAAGCGAATTACTGTTTGATGCCATAGAAATGTACAAGTTCAAACACAAATTCGCACTTGTTTCTCTGACGCGCGTAGTATACACTAATATAGGAAAAAAAGTAATTTTTAGGAAAAAAAGGTTATTTATTGGAATTAACGGTTCTGTGATGAATCTTTAATGTTATATCTTTCCAACGGAGTCCCTATTTCAGTACTTTTGTGTTCTCCCTGTGAGGTTCTTTTGATTATTTAAATGTTCTTTACAATTAGGAAATAAAATGTTCTTCTACATGGCATCAAAATCCCTTTTGGAACATTTGTAGCTTATTGTAGGCTATATGGTATTCTGCGTGGTTGCTTACAGGTCAAAACGTCACTAAAATCTAGAGATTTTATGCCCATGTTAGTGTTAGTGCTTATAGAATGTAGAAATACAGTATTTTTATGGTATTATTCAGTTAACATATCTTTGAATTAGCAAAGCACCACAAAAAATGACTAATTCAATTAGAGTACAGTGTAGATGCAATCGCAGCATTTCTGTAAGGTTTCTTTTTTTGTGTGTCATTTAGTCTGTGTATTTTGGCGTGTCTTTCTGTTCCTTAAAGCATTGGTGTGTCTGTTTTTGACTATTAAATTTCTTGCTTTTCTACAACTGGTTTCAACTGTTTGACCTGGTTTAACCTGTTCTTATGGGGTTTGGAATGACGTATGATTAACATAACACAGGGAGTGTGAGTTCACACACGTCTTAAACCAAGACAATTGGGCCCTGTAAGGTGATGTCTGGGAACTGTATCAAAATGTTTAATTCATGAGGGCAGGACAGGTAGGGAAAAGACACCAAGAGTGCAGGAGCGTTGTACTATGATTACTTCTAAGTATTTGTAGATCACAAAAGCCACACTAAAAATGTATGAATGCCATTGCGTTAGATATACATTTCGCCTTAGTCTTTTGGCTTGCCACAAAACTGCTCAGAAATATGGGGGTTAAGATCCAAATGCAGCTTTAGTAGGGACAATCCAGACACGTAATCTGATAAACAGGCAAAGGTCAAATATACAGGTAGGCAGTCCATACGAACAAACAAAACAGGCAGAGGTCAGAGGCAGAAGAATAACCTAGGAACCAGCAAAAAATCAGGCGACAGTACACAAGGACGAACCGCTTGGGAATACAGTGTAACAACATACAAAACTTCCCAGTGAGTGAATGTGAAAACCAGGCTCATAAAGGGTGAGCTAACCAAGGTAATGAGATACAGGTGAATGCAATTAGTGATGAGTCCGGGCAGTGAGTTATGGGAAATGTAGTTTGTGAGGGAGTGATAATAGCCTGTGTGGACTGCCCTCTGGTGGCTCTCAAGGGCACTCCAGCTGATGACCATTACACTTAGTTGGGGACACTTAATATTCAACAATATTGATCTGCCTTTGACACCATTATATGAGAATTGTGTTTCCAATATTATTTTAACTGAACTAAATGAATAACTTTTTTACAACAAAAATAAAGCATCACTGAATATAAAAAATATAAAACAAAAATAATGCAATGAAAGTGAATGGTGACATGGGGTTGCATTATGCCTGAGATCTGCTTATGGGTGTGAAACGGGTTTGAAATGTCACAATGACGAAATGATTTTAATTTCACAACTTTAATAACATTATTAACAGTAAATGTTGTACTTTTTCTCTATTGTTGATAGCCTATGTCAACTGGCAAATACACTAAGTTTCGTCATGCTGGCATGTATTAAAACAAGTGTGTTGGCACAGGGAATACTGTTTTGCAGTCCAAGCCTGTACTTATTTCTTGGGAGAATACTTGACTGCCTTTCATGAGTACTGTTGATCCATGACACACATTTAAGCAAAGTGTGGCAAGCAGGGCGGGGCCGAGAGCCGTGGGAATGGAGCGGGGCCGGTGGCATGAGTGTTAATGTACTTCACCTGCGCACCTCAGCGGTTTTGAGTCACGGTGGAGCTCCGGAAGGATAAAACGAGGAGCCGGCCGTCGCCATCTTGGTAGCGTGCCACCTTGCATCACTCCCAGAAAAAGGAAAATGTCCAAAAAGGCGGGATTAGCTGAGGTGACATGACGGCTAACAAACAGCAGACAAACGGCTATTAGTGACAGCAGCGGCAATCCAAGAGGCCATGCCATTATTTAATCAGAACTTTAAGCCTCAATATAATTTAAACGGATGAGTTATACAAAAAAATCACCCTCCTCACAGTTGTCATGAAGGGCAAAATTAGCTATATAGACTAAAACCACTTTTTAGACCAGGCTGTAAAAAAAAAATGTTGTGCTGTAAAGTTGGGTGTATTAACATGAGGCTCTGGGATTCATTGACGATGTGTGAGAAGAGAATAAAATAAGTAAATTAGAGTAAAATAACATTGCTTTATGTAAAGTTATTTAGGCTACAGTATAACTATAATTATATTGTGTGAAATCTGTTATGCTCTGGAGCCTCATCATGGAGCCTACCTCTGAAACAGGATTAATCACCCTCCTTTTTGGAATTTAAAGCTGAGGTTATCAGGTTACACTGATAAACTTGTATGTCACATAACCTGCTTTCTGGAATACCTCCCAAGCCTGGACTTTATGTTGTTTTGTTTTAGTTACGCGGCAGTTGTCCGTGTTGTCCGCTGCTGCTACACTTTCATTTTGTTCTTTATGTTTATTTTGTGATTAAAGTTGATCTTACTGTTTGCTGTTTCCCGCTTCCTTCTTCCCTTGACAACAAACCTTGTTAAACTAAGCCTTTTAAAAGTCTACAGGCTCAGGGCATTTAATATTTTAATAATTGATAAACTAATACATAACATGTAAACTCATAAACAGACTAATTGTCTAACCATCTGAGAATTCGGTATGGAGATAAAGGTTAGGATCAAGATTTTTTCTTTGTAGTATTACTGCACACGGTGTAGCCTATATTTGCATCATTTGATGTTTGCTTTTGGCATCTGATAGAGCCGGATTTTGGACCCGGAAACAGTGATGTCAGACTTAACAAGATTGAGACACATAAATGTTTTAAAGTTAAGTATACAAATAATATTTGATGCACTTAATTAGCATAGTCAGGATGTTGTTGTTTTTTTCTTCTTTTTTTACATTGATTTATTACATGGAACATTGGTGTTGAAATGCATTTTGTTGAGATGTATTTTTTTATATGGCCTTTTCATATAAAAATGGTTTAGCCTATTACTAACTTTTTTCCCAAGTGTGGCCATGTATGTATTTAGGGCTGTGCAAAAGTTAATTGCGATTAATCGCATCCAAAATAAAAGTCTGTGTTTACATAATATATTTGTGTGCACTGTATATAATTATTTTGTATATATAAATACCTATGCATGCATGTATATATTTAAGAATTATTTGTGCTTAAATGCTGTATATATTTATAAATACATAATCTATATTATATAAATATAAATATTTTATATATGAATAACACATTTTCTTAAATATATACATGCATGTGTGTGTATTTATATATACAAAATAATTATATACAGCACACACAAATATATTATGTAAACACAGACTTTTATTTTGGATGCAATTAATCGCAATTAACTTTTGCACAGCCCTAATTAAAATGTATCAACAATATGCAATAATCAATTATTTTTTTGCATTTGGTTCAGTTTTTTCAGTTTATTTATTATAAGAGAAGTTAATGGTAAGCTACTAACAAGAACTAAAAACTATTCCCAAAAAAGCAGACACTCCGCAACATGCCATTTCCACTGACACCATCATTGCACAAGCGCATAGGAAAGTAAATGAACAAAGAAAAAAATAGCTAAGGTGTGAGTGTCTCTGTAATCTCATGGATACTTCAGAGCCTGATTCTCTGTCACCCAGCCCTCAACGTTTTGAAACTGTGGTTAAAAATAGTTGATCTAGTGGAACTTCAACAAGGATAAGACTCAAGATGTGTCCTAAGCTTTAATCAAACATGTGGACATTTTCTGGCTGGTACATTAGAAGATGATAGGAATATTTTTAATCAGAGGAACATTGCATTTTACATCAACAGGAAAGAATGTAATGCTGGATGTCAAAAAACTCTTTCACGGCTGTTGATTGGAATATTAATATGCGTCACAGATGTAATGGGAGAATTCAGTTTTGATTTGTTTCATGAAATCTCTGTTTAGTATCGAGAGGTAGCAAGCGGTCTCTGACTCACCTCAGTATTTGTTGGCAAGAAGCAAACATGTTTTTCAGCCTTAGGGGCCTTACAATAAGTTTGGCAGTGTTATAAAAAAAGATTTTTGGAAGATCACTTTATTAAATGTAAATAAAATGCTGATTTGGATGTTTTGTTTTTATTATTATGACCTTCAGGTCAATGTATGTGCCCTAAATGAAGAGTTGGATGGAGGTTTATGTAACACAAACATCATATAACGACACTTTATCTGAAACAGAAAACGAGAGATGAAAAATTGAGCGTGTGTTTGTGACAATCATTGCCGCCCATATGCCGGCGATGACCGCGTCATTGCTG